CTGGAAAATTTAAGGAGTTATTATTATGTACGTTTAGATGATACAACCGGTAGGATACTTTTGCACGTTACTGTAGAAGTTTGACAAAACCAGATAAATATATATTAATATTAATAGTTGTTATAACAAACAATACCAATACAAAAGCAGTGAAAAAGCATGTGGTTGTCTGCCAAGGTGATTAAAGCAAACAGCGCAAAGTTTTTGTTTGAAATAAAACCATAAATACAAAGAATAGGCGAAGTTGTATTACAGAGAGCAAGCCAGAAAAACAACACAACAACGCCTGGTATGTTTAGCCATTTCTAAACCTTAATAGCCATATTTGTTTGATTTATGACGATGGAATGCAATTAAGGAATACCAAAATTCTTATTATTATACAGAATGTCTTTGATTGTTTTAAAAGCCAGCATAAGTTAACTATAACAATTCTGATGCATGGGCGTACAGAATGCCATTAGGAGTTCACGTTCGTTGCAACTTATGCTGCACATGTTAACATGTTCACGCAGCATGCCTCACGTGAAGTACAATTGGTTAGCTATCCGCAGAAATATTTATGCTACCTGTTACATGACACCAATTACGGCCGATTGTGCTACAAATATTCTATATCAAGGACTTCCAATCAGGGTCCAATCTTTACATTTTTCGTTGTCTACTTAACGTTAAAACCGCCTCTTTTCCAAATTTAGGTATAACCCCCGGTTTTGGAAATGAAGTGACCTATCGCTATCGCCCGTTACAGAGTTTTTCCGTCTCCAAATCCGGTTAGATGTAATTTTGATAGTCTATTATTGAACATTGTCAGCTGAAAAAAAGCACCATCTCATCAGTCTACCTACAGTACTACTCAATTCATGCATTTCACGAGTCACAAACAAGCAATCTGCTCGGTGATTAATATGAAAAGTGTGATTTCCAGATAAAGAAATATCGCCGGGAAATGAAAAACCATACCATTTTAAGCATACCAAAGAAAATTTTTTTGTAAGCCGCACAAAATGGAAAACTGGTTGTCAAGTAAAGGTCGAGAGATTGAGAATTTTATTATAATGGTTTATTTGTACAAAGGCGAATGTAATAAATATCAAATCTAATCAAGAATCTAAAAGAAGGACGATGAAATATTAATATTGATACTTAACCGAACTAAAACCATAATACTTTTGTAACAATAACTACTATTATTACATAAATAATTAAACCAATTTGTACAGTTTTGAGCTGAAGGGCAAGTCTTGGTTAAGCAAAGCAAGGTCGAAAATGATGTAAATAGTGTTAATAAACTAAACGTGAACAAAACTGTTGTCAACTCTTTAACTATGCTTGAAGTCAAGCCGAATTTTCCTCTTTCTTCGCCTCATCCCGGATCACCTTTCGCGCTCTCAAATAAATAATAAATTACGTCATGTACACGTTAAATGCATGACATAAATACTTGTTATTATAGACCTTAAGCTAAAACAATAAGGAATTGAGATAGATAATCCTTTGGTTGTTTGCCTCATATTGCAATCTACATCTTGCCATTCTTTCAATCGTTTTATTCTTCTATGTGCACTTGGCCTTCCATCATGCATCCTATCACCTATTTAAAAATAACCTCCTGCTCTATTTCCTCCAGCGTTCCCGCCTACAATGTTATAAATCCCAGAATTCCAGTTTTCGTTATGCGTGCTAAACCCCCTGGACGACGGTTGAGGACTGACACTCCGTGCTCGTTGCTGTGATGATTCGTTATATTGTTTCGCATATTGTCCACGGCTTCGGGAGTCAGATGATGGAGATCGGCCATTTGAACCAAGCATTTGGCGATTTGCGCTATACTGCATTTTTTGTTCACGCTGTGAGGAAGATGGTTTGTAAAGATATTGAGAGTGCGAAGATGAGTGATTTGTTGCAGGTGATAATGTTTGAGAAGAGGCGGAAAGAGCGCTTCGAGAGGGTTCACGTTGGCGATGTTGTTGATATTGTTGAGATTGAGATTGTTGAGATTGTTGAGATTGTTGAGATTGTTGGGGATTATATTGTTTACGAGATGTTCGAATGGAAGAATCCTGCCCGCGTTGTGAATATTGATTCATGCTCATTTGTTCTTGCCGTTGGTCGGTATATCTGCCATCCGACTGCCGGTATCCATTATCATTGTGATTGGGAAAAGTCC